TAAATGACTCTAAAGTTGAGAGTCACAAAATATACGAATAAAAAAAAAAAGTAGTGTAAGTTGGTGTAGTTGACAAGTAGGGGGAGAACACACGGGGGAAATGATAAACAAACGTACGCAACACAAATATGTCAAAATAGCACTTATGGTTTATTCTTGTATTGTAGGAGCAAGGAATTCAAAGGTGGCTGCAAAAGCTGAGAGCGCTTCAAGCAACGCCAAACAGTTCGCTCGAAAAAAGCTTCCTTCCTTGCCCCATGATCCCTTTTATGTACAAACGTGTCTGTATTCGTCCAATCAGATGTTGTCGAATATCAGTTCTTCTAACAAATGAAAATCATTTTCCCCAGATAACCGAAAGGTTCTAAAAAGTTTGTCAAATAAATTGACATTCGACGTAAAAGATCAAGACATTGGAATCCCCAGTACACATTGTGGCAGAAAAACACTAATTGAAGGCTGAGGGACTCTATGGATGTTTTAACCTTTCCTATAAGTAAAAACTTCCCTCTACAAGCTGTTCTGGAGTCAATAATTTGGGATAGAAGTAAGGGCCTTTACGTAGTCTACTGATTCTCTGAATCCAGCGGTGGTTTGAAGCTACGCTCCCGTCGATCTTGATTTAACAAATTCGTGACTTTATCTCTTACACATACAATATGAAGCATATCTTAAAATGAAAAATAAATTCGAATTATTTAAATTATATTGCTCCTTTTGTCAAAGCCACATTCATTCTTGTGATTTTAAAAGCTTGCAATATTTCTGGTCGTTTTAAAAAGAAAGTCTACCTAGCTAAAATTCAGAGGTGTAGGTAGCTCTTTAAGCACCATTAGAAATGGAGAGAGTATCGGGTCCGAAGGTAAAAATAGTTAAATGGGGTCTATAAAGAGCGAGGTGCGCGGGACGGGCGTGGCTGCCAGGAAGCGGACGGACAATCGGTACAGGAAGCTCCTGACCGCCCCGAGGCAACTCGCCTCTATTTTCGGTGGCCCGCCCTCGCCTCCGGTGCCGTCGTCCTGGAAGATGGGCGATGCGAAGTATTTCGGGAGTGAGCGCCGCTGCTCCCGTTTCCTTTCCGGGTGGACTGCTTTCAGTGCCTTCCTGGGAATTTCAGTGCCTTCTTGGATCATTCAGTGCTTTCTTAGATCATTCAGTACCTTCTTAGATCCTTCAGTGCCTTCTTGGATCCTTCAGTGCCTTCTTGGATCCGTCAGTACCTTCTTGGATCCTTCGGTAGCTTCCTGGAGTTTCAGTGCCTTCATGGAACCTTCAGTGCCTTCTTAGATCCTTCATTACCGTCTTGGATCCTTCCGTACCTCCTTGGATCCTTCAGTGCCTTCTTGGATCCTTCAGTGTCTTCTTGGACCCTTCGGTAGCTTCTTGGATCCTTCGGTAGCTTCCTGGAGTTTCAGTGCCTTCATGGAACCTTCAGTGCCTTCTTAGATCCTTCAGTACCTTCTTGGATCCTTCCGTACCTTCTTAGATCCTTCAGTACCTTCTTGGATCCTTCAGTACCTTCTTGGATCCTTCAGTACCTTCTTGGATCCTTCAGTACCTTCCTGGATCCTTCGGTAGCTTCCTGGAGTTTCAGTGCCTTCATGGAACCTTCAGTGCCTTCTTAGATCCTTCAGTACCTTCTTGGATCCTTCAGTGTCTTCTTGGATCCTTCAGTACCTTCTTGGATCATTCAGTACCTTCTTGGATCCTTCCGTACCTTCTTGGATCCTTCCGTACCTTCTTGGATCCTTCAGTACCTTCTTGGATCCTTCTGTACCTTCTTGGATCCTTCAGTACCTTCCTGGATCCTTCGGTAGCTTCCTGGAGTTTCAGCGCCTTCATGGAACCTTCAGTGCCTTCTTGGATCCTTCAGTACCTTCTTGGATCCTTCAGTGCCTTCTTGGATCCTTCCGTACCTTCTTGGATCCTTCAGTACCTTCTTGGATCCTTCAGTACCTTCTTGGATCCTTCAGTGCCTTCTTGGATCCTTCAGTAACTTCTTGGATCCTTCAGTACCTTCTTGGATCCTTCAGTACCTTCTTGGATCCTTCAATACCTTCTTGGATCCTTCCGTACCTTCTTGGATCCTTCAGTGCCTTCTTGGATCCTTCAGTGCCTTCATGGAACCTTCAGTACCTTCTTGGATCCTTCAGTGCCTTTTTGGATACTTTAGTGCCTTTCTGAGCACTTTGAGTCTCCATGAGAACTTCCGTACATTCTTGGAGTTTTTGGTGCATTCCTCGGAACTTCAGTATGGTTCTTGGGAATTTCGCAGCTTTTTTGAAGCTTTCGATAGCTTCCTGGAGTTTCAGTGCTTTCTTGGAACATTCAGTGCCTTTATGAAAGCTTCAGTTCTTTTCTGATGACTTTAATATTTTGGGAGCCTTTAACACCTTCCTGAATCCTTTATGCTTTTGTGCGGTTTAAATACTTCTGAGGCTTTCATTGTCTTCTTGGATCATGCAGAGCCTTTTTGCGACTTTCAGTGGCCTCCTGGAGTTTCAATGCCTTCTTTGAGGTTTTCATTGTCTTCTTGGATACTTCAATGTTTTTATTGTGCCTTAAGTGTATTTTAGTGCGTTCAATCCTTCCTATGACCTTTAAATCCTTTCTGGTTACTTCAATACCTTCCCAGAAACTTTTCCTGAAGGCCTCAGTAGTTTTCTGGGAACCTTATTGACTTTAAGACCGCCAGTACTTTATTGAAGCTTTGAACATTTTACGGTAATATTAATTCTTTTCTAGGAGCTTTCACACTTTCTAGATAATTCATCATTCTTAGAGAAGCAGGTTAGGAAATGTATACTTTTGGGGTCTTCAGATCTTCTTGGGTACTTCATACATTCCTGGTACCTTTAAATATACTTGGTTTTTCACATCTTCTCGGAGTTTTTGGAGCCTTCTTGGAGAGGCCACATACTTTTGAGGTCTTCAGAACCCAACCTCGCCTATCCTACGCACTGGACATCATGAAGAACTGGGTTTGAATTAATCAATGCTTATTTCTTATGCACCTGGAGCCACATATATTAGGTTTTATATTTCAAAAATAATTAACTCTTTTCTAAAGTACATTTAACCAAAATAAAACTGATATTTTATCCTAAGTACACATGCTACCGCCCATGATGTGTTTGCAATTGGTTGTATTGTAAATGACCACAACTCTGCGCTCATTCACACATAAAGAAGAGGTGTTGAGTTTTTGTAATGGCCGTGCTAACTTAGCGTGGTCGTGGACATTTACCCTGTCAGTCGATTTAATGCAATAGAGTAGCACGCGTATCTTCTATGAGAGACCCTAGCCTAAAAACATGGGTAAACTCGGTCTCTCTTGGTGGTGGTCTCTTATCAGAGACTCTACTTCGGTTGAAAGAGTTTTCATGACTTGGCCTGACATGACCGAGTCTTTGATAAGAGACCACCACCAATGGTTTACCCATGTTTTTAGGCTAGGGTCTCTCATAGAAGATACGCGCGCACTACTGTACTACATTAAATCGTCTGACAGGGTAAATGTCCCTTTTAACGACCACGCTAACTTAGCGCGGCCATTACAAAAACTCAACACCTCTTTTCTTGATTAATCATTGCCTAATTAAAGACTATATCTGATTAAAGAGAAAGCTATTTTTGATTCTATTAGGACCTTTAATGAGGGCAATGATAAATGGACAGGCTTCTAAATCATTCATTTCTTATTTAAGAGAGACTATTTGTTTTATAGTCTTCCCCCCTTCAAGTCTCTCAAGATACCTTTTGCATAATAAAGAATACTTGGGATATTTACTACCAAAGCCGCTCAGAAATCTGGAAAGAAAATTATGAATCAATCTGTGAATCAGGTAAGAGGGGTGGTCTTTATTTAGGCTTTGGTCTCTCGTAGACTGAGGCGTATGATTCCCTCCCTCCAACCTCTATAAGTGAAGTGTGTATCAACTTAAAGTTCTGTATGTTTATAAAATATTAAAATCGATCCTATTTTGTCTTTTAAAACAATTGTTTTTGTTTTGCAGTTTCCTAATTTGTCATTCTTCAAAACAATATAATGTTTAAAAATTTAATTTACTAATATGAATATCTGGTGGAAAAAAAGAAAAAATCTGAGAGAAATTTGATTTCAATGATTCATTTTTATAAATACAAACAGTCAGAGAGATCACTATATAATGTAATTAAATGGGCCAAAAAAAGCATTTTTCGTTCTAGAAAGAGCTTCGTTAAAGAGGGTGCCAATAAAGAGGGTTTTAATTGCAAACATCAATTTTTTTAATCATCGCTGAACAGTTGTCTTGATAAACACGAGCCTGCCTCTTGTCGAAATATCGAAATAAAATCTTCGAAATCTAAGATATTCTTCTTGTGACACAAGTAAAAAGTCAATTTACTAAAGATTTCCTCTAAAACTTCTATACAAATATGGCTAATGTATTCTTATTTCAAACCTTTTTTTTTTCAAGAATTTATTTTTCTTTCTGAATTTTTAAAAAATACCATTAAACACTTTTTACACAAGTGACCTCACCATTATAATTCAATCAAGAAATGCCAAGTAAATGAACTTGCATGGCGCCACTTCATGGTTTTGACTTCCAATTGCCTTGTAACCTACGACAGCTAGGGTAGGTGGCGACTTCTGAACGCTCCAGGAACGTAGGTTAAACAAATAATCAAACAAAATAAAACCAACTCCACCTTTGCCGTTCCCAAGCCCGGATGAAAAAGGAGGAGGGGAGCAGTAACAAGCTTGCTAAAAAAAACCTGGGCTCAGCTGGTCAGCTGATAGTACCCTGTAAGGGCTCCTAATCCAGGGATACAGGTAGAGCAGCGTTTGTACTCCATGTTAGGAGCGGCTGCACATGGCGTCTGTTCCTCATGTCAGAGGCGGCCATTTCTTTTGGAGCTAAGTCGGCCTGCCATTGAGTAGTGCTCCCAGTCTTAATGACAAAGGCATTCTACTTCACCCAATTGAAGATAAGAATTAACCAAATAAAAACCAACTAGCCGAGTGACCCGGGCAAACACTGGTTTTCGTCCGAACACCGAAGTTAAGCAATGTCAGGAGCGGTCAGTACTTGGGAGGGTGATCACTTGGGAACACCGGGTGCTGTAGACAAGCCTGAAACAGGAAGCTGTTTGTATTGCTAGAAGGATATATGGAAGAAAGTACCAGAAAGAGGTGCCGAATTAATGGATAATTTCGGGAGAATACCCTAAAATACTATCAAGGACTAGCTATTAAAAGAAATATCTGTGAGGACAAGAATTTTGTCTAATTTTACATAAGGGTGAAGATAAATAGATAGAAGAAAATATTGCCATTGCCTTCTATCAAAGTATAACACTATCGAAGGATTGATAAGTTTTCAAATATTTACAAACTAGCACACATAAAGTATTTCTGAATTCTGTCAATTTATTTTCAATTGATCCTTTCTTTCATTTCTTGCTTCAATGGTTCAATGTCATCAATAATCAATTTCTTATCTTCTTTCCAGGCAAGATCGAAAAACATCTCTCTACCACCATATTCTTACATTAGCAAACTATTGAACAACAAAGAAAATCCATTATCCCACCATCTACGAAAAGTATTTGCTCAATTCCAGACTTCCTGCCGAACAAACATCCGGCAGAGTTTCCTGAAGTTTGATAAAAGGTGAATAGAGGCCATCTCCTAATTACAATCTCTCCACAATTCCGCAAACATCACATCGCCGTAGCCCAGATTCAAATGATTTGATGAAGAAGTTGGTAGTGAATTAATGAAAGCGTCTACAAAGGCTCCTGGGGAAGTGGAGCAGCTGCAGTGATATATGAAGCTGATTACGTCCTCCATCAACCCCGATCTCTTCATATTTATGGCCACCACGTCGTGACGCCCGCTTTTAGCTCGACTGCGTGGCAATGCGTGGGTTGGACATTCGCTTTCTTCGAATTACCCTCACCAACAACTAACCCTCAATTCTGCGTGAGTTGTACCTTCGCTTTCTTAGGATGTTTTCATGGCAATGGTTTCTCCCTTATTCTGCGTGAGTTGGACCTTCGCTTTCTTTAGGGGTTTTCTTAGCAAAGATTTCTCTCTTATTCGGCGCTATTTGTACCATCGCTTTCTTTAGAGATTTTCTTAGCAAAGATTTCTCTCTTATTCGGCGTAATTTGTACCATCGCTTTCTTTAGAGATTTTCTTAGCAAGGATTTCTCTCTTATTCGGCGCTAGTTGTACCATCGCTTTCTTTAGAGATTTTCTTAGCAAAGCTTTCTCTCTTATTCGGCGCTAGTTGTACCATCGCTTTCTTTAGAGATTTTCTTAGCAAAGCTTTCTCTCTTATTCGGCGCTAGTTGTACCATCGCTTTCTTTAGAGATTTTCTTTGCAAAGATTTCTCTCTTATTCTGCGTTAGTTTTACCATCGCTTTTTTTAGAGATTTTCTTAGCAAAGATTTCTCTCTTATTCGGCGCTAGTTGTACAATCACTTTCTTTAGAGATTTTCTTAGCAAAGATTTCTCTCTTATTCGGCGCTAGTTGTACCATCGCTTTCTTTAGGGATTTTCTTAGCAAAGATTTCTCCCTTATTCGGCGCTAGTTGTTCCAACGCTTTTATTAGATATTTTCTTAGCAAAGATTTCTCTCTTATTCGGCGCTAGTTGTACCATCGCTTTCTTTAGAGATTTTCATAGCAAAGATTTCTCTCTTATTCGGCGCTAGTTGTACCATCGCTTTCTTTAGAGATTTTCTTAGCAAAGATTTCTCTCTTATTTGGCGCTAGTTGTACCATCACTTTCTTTAGGGATTTTCTTAGCAAAGATTTCTCTCTTATTCGGCGCTAGTTGTACCATCACTTTCTTTAGGGATTTTCTTAGCAAAGATTTCTCTCTTATTTGGCGCTAGTTGTACCATCGCTTTCTTTAGGGATTTTCTTAGCAAATATTTCTCTCTTATTCGGCGCTAGTTGTACCATCACTTTCTTTAGGGATTTTCTTAGCAAAGATTTCTCTCTTATTCGGCGCTAGTTGTACCATCGCTTTCTTTAGGAATTTTCTTAGCAAAGATTTCTCTCTTATTCGGCGTAAATTGTACCATCGCTTTCTTTAGGAATTTCTCTCGGCAATGATTTCTCCCTTATTCGGCGCTAGTTGTACCATCGCTTTCTTTAGAGATTTTCTTAGCAAAGATTTCTCTCTTATTCTGCGTGAATTGGACCTTCGCTTTCTTTGGATATTTTCTTAGCAAAGATTACTCTCTTATTCGACGTAAATTGTACTCTCGCTTTCTTTAGGGATTTCTCTCAAAGAAGACTTTTCCTTTCTCTAAGCAGACTGAACATCCGGGAACTTCGACACTCCAGGAGAACCGGGGTTATATCTATCTCGGATCGGGCTAAAATTTCGCTTTCTTTGAATTACCCTCCAAATTTTTATTCCTTAAATTCGCGCAAAGTTTCGTGTTTTTTGTTACCTTTCTTACCTTTATGAACTGCTTTAGAAACATCGATCAGCATTCTGTGTTGCCTTACTCTGGAGTCCTTCCCCACCTGGCTTTTATTCATTCATCCATTCCAAGTGCATCAAACCATTTGTCGTCAGAACTCACTTCCAGGACGTAGTTGGTCCAACACAATTAAGCAAATCTAAAAGAGCGAGGATATGATACCATACACAAGATGTTTGCCACGGTATTTTACAATTCAAATAGATCTTCTGTGAATTCCACAGAATTCTTATATATAGTTGAACCTGTCTATAGCGCCCCCTCTAAATAGTGCCTCCCTCTCTATAGCGCCCGATTTTAAATACGTAGTACGATGCGATTTACATTAAAAGTGACCTGTCTATAGCACCCTATTTTGGTGAGTCCCAAGAGGGGGCGCTATAGACAGGTTTAACTGTATAATTATTACAACAACAACAACAAAACAGCTTTATTAGGGCATCTTGCCCTGTACGGATTCTCCGTGGAGTTACAGACAATATTAACCATAAGAGAACAGGTGAAAATATAGTATTTACAGTCAAGGTATGTCAAACAGGGTGACTTTTTATTGTGCCCCTGTTCTTCTCTCTTCCATGAGTGCAATTTTATTCCCAACCGCTTTTTGAAAGTTGAACAGTTCAATTGCCCAACTTTTCTTATCTGAAACAGTTTTTATTAGCTTTATTGAGTTCAAATGCGGTCTAGGAAGACTTTTCAGGATCTTTTTTCTCTCTCCTTCCAGATCCCCGCATTCGGCAATAAAATGGTATATTTCATCAGTTATCTGACTTCCACATAACCCACAGTACAAATCTTCTTTCTTAATTGCGTAAATATGATTTTCTTTGATCATTGTTGACATTAATCTGATCTGTGCAATAAAACTCACTAAAGCTGAAGACAGATAGCATGAAAAGTAATTTTCTGGAATAAATGAATCATAAAGTAACCTATAGTTTGAGTATGTTTTCGTAAGAGATAATTTTGCCAGATCTTGCTGCAATAGCTGTTCAATTTTTATTTTTAGTATATTCGGAAGTTCGATCTGTATGTCATCATAATTTAACCTATAGTTTAGCCATGTGAGTCCACAATGATTGATGATATCCATAATATTCTTACAGAATCCTATAGGTTTTTTTGTCATTAAGGAAATTTCCTTCAATCTATTCCAGCATAGCTTAGGTAGTCTATTGTCTTCCATTTTTTGTAATCTAATGAAATATTTCAAAATTAATTTGATCGTTGTAAAAGTCAAAGATATTCTGCCTGTTTCCAGCCTTACAATGTACCCTGGTATATATCTTGTTAGATTCAGAAAATTTTTGATAAACGTATTCTGTAATTGGTCTATAATATCCGTATTGTCCCAAGCCCACACAGGGGCCGCATAGAGCAGTATTGATTTAATAACTGAGTCAAATAGATTCAGAGCAACTTTTAATGAGTTAATTTTTTCTTTTTTTATCAGTCTAATAGTTGCATTTATTGCTGTATTTGCTTTGGCTTTATAAAAGAGGGCTACCTTTTTACTATTAATAGTGGAAGTGAATGGATATCCCAGATATGTAATATTGGACGCAACAGTCAGTGGGGTGTCACCCCAGTACCAGTTTTCGTGTCTTGCCGGTCTTCCTCCATTTCTGAATACTATTATTTTGGACTTATTTTCATTTAAAACTAATTTGTTCTTATCCAGGTAAGACTTTAGTAAATTGATTTTAATTTGAAGATTAATTTTCGATTCTCCAATTATGGCTATGTCATCCGCATACATAAGTAGGTGTAAAACGCCAAAATCAGGGAGATGAAATCCTGTAAGTGCTGAGTTATTATAAAGTTCTATTAGGTCGGCCATATATAGTATAAATAAAAGTGGGGGAAGTGATTCTCCCTGCAACACTCCAGAATTAATTTTCACATTATTTGAATATTGTCCTTTCCATCGGATAGTGATCTTAGCTTCTTGGTAAAAGTTTTTTATCAGCATTACAAATTTATTGCTAATGCCCATTTTATGCAATTTTTGCCAAAGTAAATCATGTGGGACTGTGTCGAAAGCTTTAGTCAAATCGACGAAGAAGACATATAGCTTGCCTCGTTTTCTTCTCAGAGATAATTGGATGAGTGAATTCAGTAGTATTATGTGGTCAGTGCATGATCGGTTCTTACGGAAACCTGCTTGGTTTTCTAAAATAATCATTCTTTTTTCTATCCAGTTGTTTAATCTGTTTCTTAGTATTGTAGTAAATAATTTAGATATATTACAGCAGAGGGCAATCCCTCTGTAATTTGTTGGGTTATTCTTATCACCGCTTTTATATATAGGGTGTACTATTGAGTTCGTCCAGAGTTGCGGGTATTTTTCTGTGGACATTATTTTGTTGAATAGGTTTTTCAATTTATTTAAAGTCGGTATTGGTAAATTCTTTAGCAACTCATTTGGTATACCATCGAGTCCCACTGCTTTGCCGTTCGCTAGTTTTTTTACTACATCATGGATCTCTTCAAGGGTTATTTCCGCGTCTAAATCTGGATCTTTCCAACCGATCATCTGGTTTACCGTAAAAGTAGCTTCTTTATTTTCTTTGTTCAGTAAATTTTTATAAAATAAAAACCATTCTTTTATATCAATCTCACCTT